TTTTCTCTGTGTTAAGAAAGATGGCCTATCATAGATAAGTCAGGACAGAGTTTAAAGCAGGAGTCTTGGTGTAGGAGAAAGAATAGGAGCTTTGGGGAAATGCAGAGCTCATTGAGAATCCTAGTTACACTCTAAAACAGTCGCAAGACTTCATAGCAATAACCTGGATTGCAAGCTTCAGTTTCCTCATCTGTAAAATGGGTATGCTATCCACTGCACGTCATTCTCACAAGACTGGAATGAGGATGTTTCCTGACGTGTGCAACGCCAGGTACACTGTAGGTGTGGCTCAGGTGTTAGCTTTCTTCTTCCCTCTGCCCCTTTCCTCTAAGTGCAGAGTGAGCCAAGGTTGTGGGGGTAGGGATGTGCCTGGGGGCAAGCCCCAGCTGAAGGCAGAGAGGAAGTTGTGCTCATTTGGGCAAAACCATCATTTCCTTCAAGCCCATGGCCCTCAGCTCTTAAATAGGTCATCAAGAAAGAACATCTGAGTAAGAATTTTCAGTTTGCCAGGGTGACCCTGTGGAGGGCTTTCAACAGACCCAAGTATTTAGAGGCTTCTGTCCCAAACTGGTTGTGCTACCGATTAGGGTCACATGTTTGCAATTCACTGCCAGGTGGAAAGTTAAGGCCAAGGGCAGCTTTCCTTTCTCTGAAGTTTGCTCGTCAGTAGAGTTGGACTAGAATAATGTCATTTGCTACATCTTGAAGTAGTTTGCAAATGGTCATGTGAAATACTCACATAATACTTATATATTCCTTTTTCTGATTACTGAGACAGGGAAGAATGCCTCCTTCCCAGTTTCTTAGTTTTGTTGTATAAATAACATTAAACTTTACTTAAATTGTAACTGTAAATAATTTTACAGCGTTTTTAACCATCCAGTGCACTGAGTGCATTCACATTGTTGTACGACCCTCATCATCATTCCTTTTCCCCACTTTCATCTGTACCCATCAGCCATCAGCGCCCCACCCCCAGCTCCCCCCAGGCTCTAGTAGGCACTGTTCTTCCTTGATGAATTTGACTACGTTAGGGACCTCACATAAATGACATCAAATCGTATTTCTTATTTTGTGACTCACTTATTTCACTCTTTAAAAAAACAACAACTCTGTCTTCTATGTGCTTTACTTCCTGGCAGGAACTATTCCTTAATACAAACTTTTTTTTGAGACAGAGTCTCACTCTGTTCCCCTGGGTAGAGTGCCTGTGGTGTCAGCCTAGCTCACAGCAACCTCAGATTCTTGGGCTCAAGGATCCTCTTGTCCCAGCTTCCCAAGTAGCTGGGATGACAGGTGTGGGACACCACACCCAGCTAATTTTT